GTACATGTCTGCAGTAGCTAGCTATTGGCCTTTGGTAGCTTGAGACAGGTATCCTGCTGTGCTCTGCTTCGCGGGCATTCAACAGTATGACTGTATAAGGTACCTTACTGAGGCACCGCATTGCTCCAAAACACAAAGTGGGGAAACCACGCAACTTTGAACGTTGACAGCGTGATCGCCCTCATAGTGTATCATGATCAAATATAGAAATCACGTTTTCTCTCTTCGGGATTCCAGGGAGGATAGGGGCAAGGCTCGTACATCGAGATCTTTGCCCTGCATAATGCCTTTTTACAAGGCTTTCGCAAAATGAATCATTTTCAGGATGCATATCCGGACCGGTCCAGCACAAGGTTCGGCAGGGGGAGCGGGCCAGGTGTTGTCCAGTACAGCTGTCCATCAAGACGGCCAACCCACGACCAACAGAACATGGACCCCTACGAGCGCGTAACATTGAAGTGCGACATCATCGTTCCTTTCATGCTCTGATCATACGTAAGAAGAGTCGAAGCAGAGAACAGTGCTAACAGACCAATATCCGATCCAAACAAGGCTGTGTTCTCCGCAACACTGGGGATAGAGGGTTAATTTTGGCGCACAGGTGGATGGCTGACGAAGACAGCTCGCTAGTTCGTGAGCACTGCAATGCGAGCCCTATGCGTCACTGCAGTATGCCTCCCAGGAGCAGCCTGATACGCTCCGTACGCCAGAGTAGGCTTGTCCCAGAGAGTCCAGTAAGTCTAGGGGGCTTAGAAAGAGGCTGGCGCCCAGGACCAAGGCTATGTGGTGTGCTGCTTAGTGATTCCGGCTGCTGCTGCGAGAGCCTGGCCCATAGCACTACACTAGAGTCACTTGCAGTAGTGTGTAAGTAGGGCTTCCGCAGTTGGTAGCCCACTGTGAGGTCATTTCCTGCGGTTCTGGGACAGTGTCCTGAGGAGCTTGGTGTCTCTTGTGTCTTCACAGCCGCTTCGGCTTTGATACGGAAGTCCCGGAGCAATGGAGGATAGCAGAATGGCCACAAACGAGAGCCAAGAAGAGGTCTGCAAAGAGCTGGCTGCGGGCCAAATCAAGCGATGCGGGAAAATGACCACATAATCACACTCAATAATATCACGATGGCGATAAAAGCAAAAAAATTTGCCGTCGTCGTGTTCGCGGGTTGGACAAGCTTGAGTGGCGTGCTGGACCTACCTGCCCTGGCTGCTGGCTTGCGTGTGGCAAGTCCGACACACACACACACACACACACACACACATCGTGCTGCGTACCTACCAGTGAAGGAAGGAAGGAAAGGTACATGGCTGGCATGGCAAGAGCGAGCGACTGACGCGTTGGTAGCGACTTCCCCCATCTAGCTACCACGCAGTCGAGTTGGAGGTTGTCCGGTACTTTCCGCGACCGTGGCTGCAAGTACCTCTCGCATTTTGCTCACACCCTGGTCGATGACTCTTCACCTCACTTGAAATCTCATTTCGAGATGCAGCCAAACTCATCAACCACCTCCCTCCAAGTCGCGAGTAGTGTCCTATTATTGTCTTGAATGAGAAAGCCTTCTGAGATGCCTATGTTGCCCTCATGGGCAGTATCTGTAGATATGGAGGCGGAGGCCGGCCTCTGTGTTTCACAGCACCCTCAGTGACTAATGAGCGCTGCCTCAATGAGATGATACACCCGCAGTAGAGGAGAAGAGGGGCAGCCAGAGTGAGAGTGACAGGTTGAGTGAATCCTGGTCAGTGTGAGCCCGTTACGAGACGACCTCGACTTCCAGTCATTTGGACTCAACCTGGATTCTCCAGTCCATGCTCTTCACGTTAGTGAGGTGGCGGGAAACGAGAGAGAGAGAGAGAGTCCTTTCACTTATCCTATCTGTCCTATCCTATCTGTCCTATCCTATCCCATCCCATCCCATGGCCATCTTGAATCCCCTCCATCACGACGGACGACGACGAACGGCCGTGTACTGCCCGCTCCATCTCGCTCTCTCTGGCAGGAAGCGTCTGGCAGCTGTTGCGCCTTCAGAAATGCGCCAGTCCGAAACGGAGGACTGGCTTGGGCGCTAGACAGGGGTAGAGGCCGCAGAGTGGAGATTCTGGGTGGATTGGCGGGGCCACATGCAGCCAATAAGCAGCCTGCCAATTCTGCCAGGTGTCCGGCTTCTGCAGTCCCCTCCGAGCCCTCCCCCTGCGAAACCGAGTGGCTCGACGGGCAGCCGTCACCAGAGACCAAGCCAGTCCCCAGTCCCCCTCTCCTCCCCTCCCCTCCCCAGCTCCCAGTCTCCCAGTCTCGCATCGCATCGCATGTACCGCGCTCACACACACCAGCACACACCAGGAGAGTACCAGGGTACCTGCTGTCTGCAAGCCTGCACGCCTGCACCACTCACTCCACCCTGCCCTGCCCTGCACGCTGTCTTTGTCTCTGTCTCTCTGGTCTCTGGGTGGTGTGTGCAGAGCAAAAGCCAGACGGGAGCCAGAGCCATAGTTAACGTTAGCCAAAGCAAGCGCAAATCCATCGCCAATTATCTAAAACTGCCACCGACCCTCGTAGACTGCTGCGCTTTCTGGCCTCCCCTCTCTCTTTCTTTCTCCTGCCACTCGAACAAGCAGCAGCAATGTTCGATTACACCGTTTGAGAGATTCAGAGCGACTCTTCGTAGTCTGCTTGTGAAATCGCCTTATGTGCTGATTTTCCTTTCACATCATTTAATTATTTTCACGGCTACCAGCCTATTGATCTTATCTACCCATCCAACTGTCTACTTCACCTTCGTCCTCCTCTTTATTTGGTTTTCTTGAACCCCCCCCCTTCCACCACTTCCACCCCCCAGTGTGTTTGTGTGTGTGTGTCCTGTCTAGCAGGCTCCTTCTTTCTCGTGCGGCATTCACTTGCACCTGCGACAAAGAACGCGAACCGCTTCCCAAGACCCAACACGCCCAATCGAATAAACAACGAGAATACGATCGATACATTCAGTCTCTCTCCCCAACGGAAAAGACTCATTCTGCGCTCACCCGCCTCGAAAATCAAAAGACAACAAAAAAGTTAGCCACCCCTCTTGGCCCCCATCCATCCCTCTGCAGCGCAAAAACAACAGCAGCAGCAGCAGCGGCAAAGCCAGCCAGTCCCGTGTTTTCCCAGAGTTTGGAGTGTTGGGTTTTTTTGGGGGTGAAAGAAGCGACGAAATGCACACCTGATCCGGACGCTTTCAGTTCATTTCAGTTCACCAGGCACCGTCATTTCGCCGTCTCTATCCACCACCACAGATCCAACACAAATGACAAAGGGAAAACGACCGAAAATACTCGGGGACAGACGAGCAAAGAGCAAGAGGAACAAGAAGAACGAGAACGAGAAGCTAAGAGATTCATTTGCAGGGTCCCTATCCATCCATCCCATCCAGTCAGGCTTCCGTCAGTCGGCCAGACGCTGTGTCATACTCTCGCCAGGTCACCCGGTACTAGTCCCAGGTATGTTGGCTCATCACCCGCCTCCGTCGTAATTGCCAGTTGGAGCCACCTGGCCCCAGTCCGTTTTCGGGCTCCTTCCTCCACTCTCCCTCCTTCCCTCCTCCCCCCAGCACCGCACTACGCACCGCACCACAAAGGCACCAACGACAACAGCCTAAGCCCAGCAGCCCAAGCTAGAGCCTAGAGCCCAGAGCCCAGCAGGCCCGCAAGATCCCAGCGGCAATAGTCGGTTACGCCTTCGCCACCAGACCATAGCACATCGCTCCGGAAAGAGTCATCGACATCCCCCATACCCACAATACCTCGCCCATGGCCCTGGCCATCCATCCGTATACCTACAATAGACGGAAGGGGTCATCGTCACCTGGGTCACTCTCTTTTTCGCCGCCGCGCTTCAAACCGTTGTCCTCGTCGTCCAGTCATCGGTCACCACTTACACACTCGCACTCACACTCACTCTCTCACTCATTCACACTCCTTTGCCTAGACCCTCGCCCCTAACGACACGTTTTAGAGTTACTCATTCTGACCTTCCACCTGGAGCTGCGTCAAACCCGCGCCTCCACCCCAAAGAGTCCTCTTCCATAAAAGAGCCTCCCGTCCCTTCAGCCACATCGGAGAGTCCCAGTCGCATCGTACCTGCATAGGGCTCGTCTGCGCATAATCTCCCCTCCTACACTCTCTTCGACAGCCCCTCGGTCCACCTTCAAGAAACTCTCCGCTCATATGGTCTGCTAGATGTCATCACGCGTCTAGCTTTCCATAGAAACACCAAATCTCCGCTCCAAACCAGCGAAGCATTTGCCAACGATGCATTTTGCGAAAAACATTATAATCACTCCAGTCGCCGCCTCAGCTCTGTCTTCCGGTCTAATCGTTCGTGAAAAGTCAGCTTTCGACGCTCTCGTCTAGAAAGCTTACTACCCTCCTCGAATATCATAAGTTCTGCAACTCCTTGGCCAAGGAGTTCTGCAGAGCTCGCGTCTCGATAAGGTTCACGATTGTTCAAGACTAAACGGTTTACTCAGAGTCGACTTTGCTCGGCGGCGACTGGAGGTGTCCCCACGGAATCACCTCTACCCACTTTAGAACAAGATGCAGTGCAGCGAATATGATTCGCCTGCCTTCATCACTTCCCTCCGAAATGCACCCTACTCTTCCTCACTAGCGACCTCAGCATCAGCCTCCTCGGCTTCTGTATGGTCAGACGCATCCTCACAATCTTCCGACGATACATCAATTTCCGCCCCCACCTCCGACTCCGACTCATGCGAATCCTACTGCTACACACGCCCAGCACTTTCGCAGGCGTATCAGGTCTCCTGCGAGCCACTTGTAAAACTCACCAACCCCTGGATTAAGCAGCAAACACAACAACAGCAATCTCAGGTCGAAGTTCCCGCAGAACTACGACAAAATCCCAGACGAACTTCGAAGTCTGGATGTCCGCCTACTCTTGTTAGGCAAGCCGATCGAAAGGTCAACTTCGTCGATAATCTCGTTGGTAAGCAGTGACGTCTTACACCCGCGACGATGCTCTCGTACTTAACACCCCAATCTTCAGATTCTTCCACACAGATCGTCGAGGCTATCTGGCCCACGTCTTCGGTGGTTTGCCGCACTGAGGCTGGCAGCAATGGCGTTTTGCCCCTGCGCACTTTCATCCAGGAGACTCTGCGCCGCTCGCGCACGAGTTACTCCACACTGCAAGTTGCTCTCTACTATTTGATACTGATCAAGCCCCATGTGCCGGATCATGACTTCACCATGGAACAACCTGACGACTGCCATGCGAGTCGCGTTCTTCAGTGCGGTCGTCGCATGTTCCTCGCGGCTCTGATCCTGGCATCCAAGTATCTCCAAGATCGCAACTACTCTGCGCGCGCCTGGAGTAAGATTTCTGGGCTTAACACCCAGGAGATCAACCAAAATGAGATGGCTTTCCTGCTCGCGGTCAACTGGAAGCTGCACATCACCGACGAGGTGTACAACCGTTGGACAGATTGTGTCATGAAGCACACGCCGTCCCAACCCCCATCACCTGGCGGAGCCGCGCAGCTCAAGTTTGAACGCGAGTGTGAGGACTTCAAGAACATCGTCCTACGACTGACTCCTGACTTGGACAATTTGGACGAGGTAATTCCATCTACCCCCACAAAAGCTCTGGTACAGGAAAAATCTGTTGTCTCTCCTCGATCGCTTTTTGCAGCAGCCCAGGAGAAGCCTTGCACATTCAGCTATGACTCTAGCGAAGTCACACCAACACCGAAATCCTTTGGCACCCCCAACATTATGGAGCCCAGTCCCGCCTCTGTATATACTCCCGGCCGACTGGCTCCTTGTCTGGGACTCTTGCCAACACCCCGTTTGACTCCTCAGACCAGCGGATTCAGCACTCCTGCCGTGAGTGCTGCGTCGTACATGCTGGGCAAGGGCTCGTCTATGGGCTTCGCCATGGCACAGGCCGGCAATGTAAACGCTGTGCAGAACATGGATAAGTGGCCTGTTTCGATGACCTCGTCACCTCAGAGCTATTTCTGCGTACGTCGCTCGTCACTTGCCAATTCTATCTCGACCGCGTCCTCCCCCGAGTCGATGGTTTCGGACACATCCCGAACCTCTCGTTCTTCCTCAATCTCCTCTGCTTCCTCGTTGGCCAGCGCGCCGTCCACCAAACTGGATGTTCAGGCGCGATGCCGCTATGCGAAGCTTTGCAGTGAGAGGTATAGTCTGAGAACAACCATCGCCTCGGTTCCAGAGGATTACGAGGAGAATTGCATCACCTCTTCGCCTGACTCCTACACCGGCCCGGTGGGCAAGGAGTTTTGTGACATGTCACTGGACACTCCTTTGGCGAAGAGAGACCATGAGATGGACGACACTGCAAGAGACAATGATGCTGCTCGCGCTCTCCAGGAACTGCACAACAATTACCACCGTTCCATTGCCATGCAGGTACCCGTCTCGGCAGCCAAGGCAGGGTCGAAGCGAAGTCGGCCAGTGTCCATGGACAATAGCAACGTACAGGATTGCGTTCGCGACATGTTGAATGGCTCTTACCCTACCATGGAGGCGTCGTGGACTGATTCACTGGTTCGCTCTCGCGCATCTCTGCGTGACTCTCGTAAGAGAATGTGCTGCTCAACCGAAGCATCTCAGCAGTACAACATGTCATCCCTCCATCCCGCTATGGGTGGCCTTGGGGGTCCTGGCATGTGGGAGGGCATCCTGAACTAGTGACCATCATCAACTTGATCCTAATATAGTCAACTGTGCACCATCCAAGGTTGTTGGATGGTGCTCATGACAAACCAAATACCTCTTGTTACAATAGCTCTAAAACCATTTTCCTTTGTCCAAAACCGGCGGGGAGGGGCTTTTGATACCACAACCTTGGTAGACATCTAGTTCGGTAGATGACTTAGATGGCGCCAGGGAAGGGAGCGAAAAGCGCGCTTGTGCTTGCCTTGCATTGGGACGGGTCATTTTGGAATGACAGGTGGAAGTAGAGGTGGTCTTGAGAAGCAGGTGGTGACGGTGGTTGTTGTGTCGTTGTCTATGTACGATGAGAACAGAAGCCTTAGTTTTTTACTGGTTGACTATTTGGCTCAAACATCGGAAGGTGTTATTTTGGCTGGCTTGAAAGTTCAACCGTCATTTGGACGCAGGGAAAGGGGAACTTCAGGCATATGGGATAATGGAAATGGATCACACGGGCAGCAGAGCAGAGGCAGCTCGGTCGCCGGGTGGTGGTGATGGGCGCCTCGTTGTAAAGCACGAGGCAAACCACCGCCGCCCAGAGAGACGGGCGCGCTCTACAACTCTCTGTCTACGCATGCATGGCGTGGAGTTACTTTAAAGACATTTGCTACCTTTCCAGACCTAGCAGAAACAGGTCTCCGACGCAAATGAACACGCTCGACTAGCAAAGCTACAAATCAAGCAAGAAAGCTACCCTATTTTCGGAGTCCGATGACGGTTTCAAAATGACCTAGGCACCTGATAAGATGAGAGAGATAAGAGAGAGATCCGATGACGTTCAAGATTCTTGGTGACAGAGATGTTCTGGGGATGATGATGATGAGAGATTTGGACTTGATCTCGGAAAGGGGTTTTGATGAGACCGCAGTATCCTCTTCCTATCTCTTTCATTCTGGAAAGATGACTTGAGGAGAAGGGAGTTCTGCGGGTTGATCACGATCACAAGAGAACAAACAGCCTTGTCTATTATCGAATATCTTGCAGAAAATCGAGGATCTAATCTAATCTAAGCTTCGTCTCCGTCTACATACATACATACATACATACATACATACATGCATACATACATGCATACAAACTTGATGATTGCTTGTCGATGCGCAGATGCGATTTCTGGATACTCACTCACTCTTTGCTCGCGATCAAACGGCGACTGACACAGCTCAATGCTGGCTAACTAACCGTGTTCCTTACCCAAAGGAGGCTGCCTTCTTTGATGCCTGAGTCGAAACCGAGACCGTGCTTGTGTTTGACTGCCTGCTACAGGTCGTTCGCGGCGGTTCATCTAGCGCTGGTTGTTGTGGATTCGGGGGCAACGAGTCGTGCTGGCTGCCTTCTTTGTTGGTGTGCGTGCCATCGCGGGTTGCGTTTTGCGTTTCCTCGTCGCCGGATTCGCGCCGAGTGAGTCATCCCCGCCATTTTGCTGCTGCGCTGCGCTGCGCTCCTATCGCGGAGGCAACCTACCCAGCTACCTTACCTTACCAAACCGGCAGGGCAGCACCGCCTTAATTTTGGTTCGAGATAATCCCTGAATCAGGCTTTTGGGTCTGGGTGGCTGTGGGTGGAGTTCCTTTATTTTTGGTCCTGCGACTGACATGAGAAGCTTTTCCCCCCTGGTGTGCTGCGTGAACGCAGCTTCATCGGTGAAGTTGGGCTGCTGTGCATTTGTTACTGTGGTTTTGGGCGGTGTCGTTCACGCTGCGCTATCAGCCGCCGTGAAGTGCGGTTCATGCTTGCATTGCTTGCTGGTTAGCTGGTTAGCTGCACGACCAGACCCAAGGCCCATCCAAGCCGGAGCTGAGGTCCGCTGAATCCCATGGCGGCGGTTCCACGGAATCAACCACGATCATAATTTAGGAAATGGGAAATGGGTGGCAGGCAGGTGATGCTGTCGATGATGTTGATACTCTGCTTTGGTGCGGTTCGCTGTTCATGTGAGCGGTGCGTGACCCAGTTGCTTGTTTGGGCGGTCCAACCAGCTGGAGGGTGAGTGAGGTGAACTTGGAAGTGAGGTGTCCCCACAGAACCACCAGTTACCGCTTCTGGGCTGTGGATGTTGCTATTCACAGATGATGCACCCCCCAACCACTCGTGTTGCTGTATCTGAAGGAGCTTGTCTGTTTGCTCTCCTCTACTAATCATTCATAGTTCGTGACGTCGAGCTATAGAGGGAGGGATCTGCGTCTCACGGACTTCCGTAAAGCGCAAAAAGATGCCACCGCCGTTCCACTTCGGTAGTCAGTCTCGATTACTATGCATTGCTCAGCTTTGTTTTGTCGCCAACCCTGCTTCATGAGCCCTTCACTTGACTTCACGCCCTTGAGGAGAGAAAGGTGCTATCTGAGCTTGCTATCGCCGATATACGGCAGCCTGTTTATTGCCTTGCCTTGCCTTGCCTTGCCTTGATGAGAGGCGGCGACTTGGACGTTGGAAATGCTAAACTTCTGGCCAGTTTGGCCGCTCTAATTGCTTACCATCCAGGCTTATTGTTCTTCCTTTATTTCCCCCCGTTTTGTCTTGCCTAATCACTGACACACATACTCACATACAAGCTATGCTGGCTTGAGAAGGTCGATTATTGATCCGGGGCTGACAGGCAAGCTTACTTACATGACAACCCCAGAGCATCTACATGTATGTGGTCGTGATATTGTATTTCCCTTATTTTTCCCTATAAGGCGCACACTTCTCTTACAACTACATTCCCCACAGCAGCAGAGGAGAGTAAGATGGTCAAGACGAGAGCGCGTAGGATTTTTGATTCTGCTCGTCCCGATCTACCCGTCTTACTCATCGGGGGAGGAGGTCTATACAGGTACAGGTAGGAGGATAGAGGCGGCGAGACGGAAGCGGAGTAGCGCCTCCTACTCCTCGTCTCGTCTCCCACTCCTTCCTTTGCTGCTGCTGCTGCTGCTGCAGGCCGCGACGCCGAATCATTATGAGCCATGTCTTGGGAAGGTTACGTGTAGGATCTGTACACGCACGTTATCTGCGGAGACGCGGGCTTGTGCAGTATTGGAGGATGTATGCATGTTTATTTCACCTGTAAGTCGGTCGGGTTCCGAGGTGGAGAGTGAAGTTGGCAAGGTAGCTTGGCTGCCCAGGCACTCCCCAGCCCATTCAAGTTCAACCAGCCAGCCAGACAGAAAATAATCCGAAGGGCGTCGTGTCTTAACTCCGGCCGAGAGGAATATGCGCTTCTGCGGTTGGCGTCAAAGGCATGGTATGGTGTTGTTCATCGTGGCCGGATCCCCGGACATTGAAAGTCGTGTTGATTAGAAATCGTCGACGGGCGGTTTGTCAGGGGTTGCCCAATGGGGGCTGGCGCCCTGTTGCCGCCTCCTTACGCTTCACTATCCCTGGGATATCAATATCTTTCCTGGTTCAGGGTTGAGGGTTCAATCTATTGGTATTGATTGTCTTCACTGACATCACTGTTCGCGATGGCTACTCTCAATGCTGAGCTGATACAAGCGTATCCTTCTTTTGGGCACCCGAGCACATCCTTGTCACAATGCATGGTCCGGCCCCTGAGATTGCTACAACAGCCAGCAACAGAGATTAGTATTACTCGATCTATCACGCCGGCCTCACGGCAGCATCGGCCGGCCTGACTCAGGCGGCAGAATGTGAAGCCGGATATACATCCATCGTGCATAATACTGGTAAGCTTCTTTGAAACTTGGCTCGCTAGCTGGGCCATGAAGTCCGAGGCCGTCAGTGATACATCCTTCTGAGGTACCATGCATCTTCCCCTTTTTCGTCATCACAGCATTCAATCATACAGGGTAATCATAGCAATACAGCCACCTACAGTCCCGCAACTCCGAGTCCCAAGCAAACAAAGTTCACAATCCAAAATCTCCCTTTCGTGAATGACGTCTGTCCGAACAAGCCAACTCCCCTCACGCCCCAGCAACGGCCGTCAGCCTCCGCCGGATCTTGACGCACCGCGCAAAGTCCAGCTTGGAGCCCTCGCGCGGCATGTGCTGGCCGCTGGCGATGCAGAGGACCTTCATGCGCTCGTCGTAGCGCAGGCCGGACAGCAGCTTGGGCGTGATGAGGAAGTACTGGCTGGTGTGCTCGCGGCAGGCGATCTCGACCATGCGCTCGTGCACCATGCGCTCGTTGCGCGGGTCCATGCCCTGGTTGATCTCGTCGACGACGCGGAACGGCGCCTGCGCCATCGACTGCAGCGACATGAGGTAGAAGATGGTCGACACTGCACGCTCGCCGCCCGACTGCCGGTGCTGGTCGAGCTTTTGCAGCGTCTCGTTCTCTCTGTGTGTCATGTGTCAGTGCCCTGGTCGGTGATGAGATGCAAAAATAGGGGGTGGTAGCATACCTGAACTTGACTTTGATCTCGATAGCCCACTTATCAAAGTCTTCGTCCTTGTGCACGCCGACCTCGCCAGCACAATTGATCTGCTCAAAGTTGTAGCTGAAGGCATCGTTGATCTTGGAAACAAGACCGTCAAGCATGGGCTCCCATCTCTCGCGTATCCTTCTGATCTTGTCTGCTATGCCCTCCAATTCCTGCTCCTTCTCCGCCTTCTGTTTCCTGAGACGGTCGATCTGCTGTGCCCGGTTCTCAAATTCTCGTAGAACACCCGGGTCAGCGGCGTGGATCAGTTCTAGCTTCGCCTTCTCAGCTGCAATGTACTCATCCATCTCCTCTACGGTTTTGTTTTGTGCAATACTTGACAGCTCCTCCTTTCTTTGGGCGTCATCGGTCAACTGCTCGATCTTGCCAAGCAGTTCTCGTGCCTTGAGTTTGCACTCCTCAAGCTCTCGGCCAAGCTGTTCCACTGCACGGCCCTCCTCTTCGAGCTTCTTGACGATGTCTGCGTTCCTCTCCTTGAGGCCCGCGACGTCCGATTTGGCCTCGATAAGGAGCACTTGGGCCTCTAGTAAGTCTCGATGGGCTGCCTTGATGATGTCTAACTGTTCCCTGTGTCGAAGTGCTACTCTGGCCTTCTCGAGGGCAACTTCGTCACATTTGTTCTCCATGTCTCGAACTCGTTGACGTTCTTCTCGGATCTCCCCCAACTTGTTTTCAAGATTCTTCTTCTCCATTTCTTGTAAAAGGTCAGCTTGGTGTGGGTGTTGGTTGGGAAACAAGGTACAAACCAATTTTGTCCGGGATGGCTAGCCACTGGTTGTGTTCCTTCTGCAACTCGTTCTTGGCTTTCTTCAAATCATCCTACAGACATTGTTAGAAGGCTTCTAAATAAGTGCTGAAAAGCAGCTCACCAGTTTCTGTCGGATTTCAAGCTGCGTGGCTCCAAGAGCCTCGTGCTTCTCTCTCAAATCTGCAAGAGCCTGTTTGAGCTCTGCAACTTCACCGGACGCTTCAATCTTCCGTCGCTCAAGCTCGGTCTTCTCGGCCATGTCAACCGGCTGGTCGGCCCAGAATCTACCTGGCTTGATCTCAGAAGTTCTCGTAGATGTTGCACCAGGACCGTACTCTCTCCGTCGGGTAACACGGTATGACGTGCTGCCGGCAGCCCAGCTATTAATGACCTCGCCGGCGACGATACGCTCGTACTGGGCATCACTGATATCCTTCAAGGACACCGCGGACATGTGTATCTTCTTCTCTGCGCAAAGCATGGCAAGAACGGGCTCTGGCCCATCCAGATAGTCCAAGGCATAGCCGCTCAGCCCGAGCGCAGAGAGCTCTGCAGATGGCAACGGTGGCCGGAATGCACCGAAATCAGTGGTGCATGTGCGGATGGTAACAGAAAGCCCCATAGCTCCATAGAACTGCCCGCTGAGTTTCTTGTGGTCCTCCCTGGTTTGGGCTGTGAAACAGAGGAAGTCATCATTCTGTAGCATCGATTGGATGTGGTTAGAATACCGCTCGTCCTTAACCGAGCAAGTGAGCATAGGTGGTCCGAAGACCTCCTTCTCGAACTGTGCCGTGTTTTCCTGCAGCCATTCCCAGCCTCTGGCGCAATCAGGAGAGATTTTCCTGAGCTGACTTAGTTTCTGGCCCTGCTGGGATTCGAGATTTCGAATATCGGCCTCAATGTGTTTTAGCTCTTCCATCTTCGCCCGGCCTTGATCTTTGATTCCCTGCTGTTGTACGGTTTGGTTCTCGCGAAGCTCCGACTCAGTCTCTCGAAGCAAATGCTCTTGCTCTCGAATCTTTCGATTCCAGTCCGCTGGGTTGAACTCTTGGTGGTCCTTTTTGAGCGAGGCTTCGAGGTGTGTGATTTTCTTCCTGGAGGTTTGGACCTCCTGCCTCTTCGTTTTCAGCGCGTTAACGATAGCATCCCTCTTGTTGTCGAGTTCTGTGAGCTTGGTATCCAGGTTATCGACATCGGATAGAAGCTTGTCAGCGGCGCGTTCTGCCTCTTTGACCGCATTCTTCCGTTCGTCTACCACCGTATGTACTTGAGCTTGGTACTCCTGTTTGCGATTGACAGCTTCCAGTGAAGGGCCAGATTCCCTTTCCAAGTCTCGAAGTTTGAGCTGCGCGTTCTTCTTGCGCTCTTTCGCAGCTGCGAAGCTCTTACGCGCATCGTTATACTGAACGGCAACACGGGCATCTTCCAAATCCTGTACTGTCTTTTGGATCTCTTCCCTTTCTCGAAGCCTATCGACATCACCCTGGAGTCCTTGTTGGCGCATTTCCAAGTGCGCCAGTTGCTCAGCATCTTTTTCGCTCTGCTGCAGGGATTCCTTCTGAGCGGCATACATGACTTTCAGATCATTTTGCCACCTCATCATCTTCTCTGGTGCGGCCGCCTGGAGTGTCTTGGTCAGGAGATCGACAGAGTTGAGACCAGCAAATTCGGCCACCTTGTCCTGCGGAAGGAACTGGCAGAGGTTGTCGATTTGAATCCTCAACTCGCGCATGAGGGAATGAATCGTCTTGTGGGTGCATTCCCTACCATTCATCCAGAATTTCCGCGTATTATCTTCGCGCTTGACCACCAGTCGGACGATGAAATTCGACCGGTCGTTAGGCCGCTTCTGGAGCTCGACCTCGACGGTCGCCGAGTCCTTGCCGTGCTTGACGAACTCGCCAAAGGAACTCGCTCGGCCAAGAACGTTTGCGTGGTAACCCAGGCCGAGGCAGATGGCGCAGACGAGCGAACTCTTGCCTGTGCCGTTGGGACCGATGACCATGTTCAGATTCGGGCCCGGAAAGAACTCTGCATGTTCGTATGTCACGAAGTTCTCGACCATCACACGGACGATGGCACCAGGCTGGAAATCCATGGCCGAGGTTCCGTTTGTCTGAGGCTCTTGTTTCCTGTCGTCTACAAACGAGTGGAACTGGTCTTCTCCCTCATCATCCTCATCCTCCTCCTCCTCCCCACCAACATCTTCATCTTCCTCCTCGTCCATCTCGCTCTCGGTGGCTCGCCCGCCTCGTAAGCGCACGCGCTTTGCGCCATCGGACGACTCTGGGGACGAGCGTTGGCCCTCGAAGCGCACGTTATCGGCTTCGTGGTCGCTCTCGATGGCGGAGCGCGACCGCCGCTTCACGCCTTGACCACCAGCCATGGGCGGAGAGAAAGAGAGCCTCGTTGCTCCTTGACGAACTTTCCCGATCAGGCAATTTCGGTTTCGGGCGGTAAATCGTATCTCAGATCATGCGTGCGTGCGTGATGCAATCCGAGGTAGCGGGTCGCGCGTTCGGCGCACTGGACGGTTGGAATGAAATTTCAGGCAAGTCTCGGATCGAAGGCATGCATGTGGTGGGTGGTGAGACGCGCTTTTCGTGCGCAACTAATTAAGCCCCTTGGGAAGACGCGTTCTGGTGCCACGGCAGCTAGAGCAGTTCGATCTTCAGCGGGTGACACAGTGGGGTAGCAGTGTCTGCCTAGTGCCTTGGCTGGCATCCAGATGGCCGGTAGACTTCGTGGTGGCTCTGTGACTTACTTACTGCTTGTAGGATCGCTCTTCACTTCGGGGGGCCTGAGAAGGATATTTAAAATCACTCCCGAATAGATGCAACATGATCATAGAAGAGAGATATATATGATTGGATGAATGAGGATTTCTTTGTCGAAAGTCAAAGATTCATGCTATGCATGACTACCAGGACTACTACAAAAGTAGGTCGGTACCTAAAGCAGCACCAAAGGGGTGGTGGGTTGATTGGTTCCACTAAGCCTTACCTAGATACCTAAGTGCTAGAGGAAAGAGCAAACGGACCAATAGGGGAAGGTGGTCGTTGTGGGACTTACACCTGGGCACAGATAAGACAGCCTCATCAACGTCTTGTCATCCCTTTCTTCATCAAGAATTAGGAGGCTGATATATTCAGCCTGGCATTGCAACGCCCACAATGCACTGCAATACCGTACCTGAACAGCGCAAGATTAAACGAAACGCTAACAATGGCAACAGGCACTGCATACCGTTACCAGTGGGAGCGTCTTGTCTCAAAATCTGGCAGTCAGATCTCCATCCTGGTCTGTTGTTTCTTTGGGCTACCTTGCAAATGACGGATGGTCGATCCATACAGTGAAGATGCCTTTTCTCTCTGAGTTGGCTAGGTGGACGGTATGCATCTCTTCAATTCCCGGTGGCTTCTTTGAAACTGTCTTCGTGGCCGATTTCAAGCTGAAGATGAACAGCAAGAACCCATGGAGAAGACATTGAAGCCAAAGAGGAGATGATCAGTTTCCTTTGAGATTGTCGAGGAATGAGTCAACTATTATGCCCAATCTCCACGAGTGTATGTATATTCTTTATCTACTCAGTTTTGGATTATTGTCTCTTCAATGTGTTCAGTTGTTGTAATGCTGCAAAGAAGACATCGAGTGATGTCCTGATAACTTGGCTGGTTCGAGCCACGATGATGGCCTGCATACGTTGAGAAGGCTTGATAGAAGGTTTGCAGAGCTTCAGCCTGCCTACTCTACTTCACTGCAGGAAAAGGACAAGATGAGCAGAATCTCAGCTGCTGGCTTTCATTCGGACTGGACTAGCGACAGCTGCGCGCCAATTGCAGAGCAGGCGCATTTCGTCTGAGACCTGGCATCCGTCTCACATTCCTTCCCTCCCGCCCGCCACCAACCCTTAGCTAACGAACCACTCCAGCGCCCCGCCGACCACCACAGGCGCGACAAGATCTCGAGGCCGCGATATCACCAAGGAGAAAAAGGACCCAAACAAACATTCCAGCCCGCTTCCTCTCTCCTCTCCAAGCTGCATCGCCGGCCATTCTCCCGCCCCTAATTCGCCAGCCAGTCTCCCAGTCTCACCATCCTCGGTCCTCCTTCCTCCTCGTCAGTTCAGCTCGGGTCGGCTCAGCATCCGCGTGTTTCCTTAGCACCCACCCATCCACCACCAAAGTCGCGTTACCAAACACGCTCCTCCACCCTCCCCGACCACCCAATTGCCTGGCCTTTTCTCTCTTTCGTCATCCCGCCGTCGCTCGCTACCTCTTTTCCTCTCCGAGTCCGCCTTCGTCTTCGTCTTCTGCAATTCGTGCCCTCCAGCTCTGTCGTTCGCTTCATCCAGAGTAGCCTCACCCTCGTTCACCTTCCGCCATCAACGGCGACCCAATGCCCGGCTCTGGGAGAGCTGCGAGAGAGAGCATCGCGTCCTGACAGGCTACAATCCCTCCTGATTGTCAACCCGCCATCATCATGGACAAGCGAATGTCCATGGCGAGCTCCCAACACTCGCGGCCTCCCTTGATGGACGTCTCCAAGCGAGTCAACAGTGCTCCAATTGCCTCATCCCCCAAGCCTAACAAGACTTGTGGCGATGATCATCTCAAAGAGAACGCTCCTTATTATGCTGGCAACCCGTCCAGCCCCCCCAAGAGTGCTACAGTGTCTGCCCGTTCTTCTGTTCCGGCCAACGCACGACTCTCAGCCGTTTCAGAGGAAGGATCCTATGTCCATGCTCAAGTATCTACCGCACAGGCGGCGAAGAGATCCAAGCCAGCTTTGAAGGATGTTGTCAAGGAGCCCAAGATCCGGTCTTACGTAGGGCCATGGCAGCTCGGGAAGAGTCTCGGAGCGGGCTCCTCCGCCCGTGTACGGCTCGCTCGCCATCGGGTTACCCACCAGTCCGTTGCTGTGAAGATCATGTCGAGGAAGCAGGTTCAGCTTAGTTCCTCTGGAAGCATTGCTCGACTTGACGAGCTGGAGATGAAGCAAGGTCCCGGCCCCGATGGTGTCAAACGCATGCCTCTTGCCTTGGAGCGAGAGATCGCAATCCTCGCGCTCATGGACCACCCGAATATCATGAAGCTCTACGACATATGGGAGACCGACTCAGAGATGTATACTCACCCTGTTTCTCTTGCTGTGTAGCTTTGTAAGTGCTGATCATAGATTAGATACCTGATGTTGGAATATGTCGAGCATGGCGATCTATTCCACTACATCAACCGAGTAGGGCACATGTCAGAACCAGATGCTGCCTACATCTTCAGGCAACTTATGAGCGCTTTGGAGTATTGTCAGGAATTCAACATCTGCCATCGGGACCTTAAGCCCGAGAACATCCTGCTCACAGAGGATGGCCATGTCAAGGTATGTGACTTCGGCCTGGCCGCCTTGCATCAGAATCCGCAGGACAAGCTTCGATCCGGATGCGGAAGTCCTCATTATGCTGCCCCCGAGCTCCTCAGAAGGAGACAGTACCGGGGAGACAAGGCGGATAACTGGAGCATGGGCGTTATCCTCTTCGCCATGGTAGCCGGTCGCTTGCCGTTCGACCAAAGCAATACGGACGAGATGATGTGGCACGCGAAGCGAGCCGCCTACGAGATGCCGGATTTCTTCAGCCTCGAACTTCAGGATTTCATCAGTCGTATACTACAGGTGAACCCTGATAAGCGAATGTCAATCCGCGAGATGTGGCAACACCCCTTCATTACGAGATATGACAACCATCCTTCCTTTCAAAACCAGCGCGTTCAGGCTGCAAATGTTAGGAAGAATAAGCGATTTGATGCAATCGATCCCGAAGACCTCAATCCAGATGTCTTTCGACAACTTCACGCCATGTGGCATGCCTTGAGCGATAAGGAGTTGACAGCAAAGCTCATCGGCAAAGAGTAAGTCTGCACGATTTTATATCTCTACTTCCAATCATGATTGATGAGTACTGTGCTTACTGTATCATGATAGACCGAATGACCAGAAAATGTTCTACCACCTTATCGTAAGCCATCGGGAGAGACTCATGGAGAATTTCGACTCCAGATTGGCACACTCCGAGAGCGATTACCACCATCTTCGTCCGCAGGCTTGGACAACACGAGTGTCAACTCGGAAGTTCAAGGGACATGGACGTTCATCATCCCGGTTCACCGTCATCTCGACCGTGGCGGATACAGAGCCAGGGACTGTTCGGAGCTATGATCCATTCTATGCATCACGAAACCTACATCCGGGTCAACCAAGCCACGCTAGGATTGTCGTTCATCGCAATGGCACTGTCGACTCTCGTGTGGCACGAAGCATTCGCTCTGGCTCTGTCCTGTCAGCCGCCATGGAGGATAACCTGCCTGTCAGAAAGAGACGCAATTCGGTGCGATCTCAAGGGACAAGTCATTTATCGCCTCGCAATTCAATGAGCTCAATTCAGAGCAGTATTCGGGGCAAAGCAGGTGTTCGTGCCAATACCCGATACAAGCGGGGGGTCGACTTCTCCAGAGTTCGACAGCGCTCTGTTGACCCTCAACCCAATGCTCCTCCTACGATCAGCGAGCAAAGTCTTACTCCTCTTGAAAGTGTTTCTGGCGATGAGGCCCTCCTCAACATTGAAGATGAGTCTCCGCTGAGTGGGGAAAGCCTAGAGGAGCCGCAGCAAGATCATGGTGTGTCTCTAGATGCCAGGTCACTGAGCTCTTTCTTCAAAGATGTCGAGGAATCGTCTCTGTTCCAGGGTGATGACTGGATTCATTTCAGCAACAGCATTGCCAGAGATTGTGATGCGGCTTTCAACAGCTCGATTTGCGCCTCTCCTTCTGTCAATTTTGAAGCTGGTCAAAGGGAAGCCTCGCCCTTCTCACTCGAGTTCAGACCCCCTTCTGTGGTCCACCAGACTCCTGAGGTGACTCCGGCCCCTCCTTCTGTTACAAGTACCGCTACTACCGGTCCTTGGGATTTGAGACCACTTCCCCCACCACCTCCTCAGTCAGAATCGGTATTACGTGATATCGTGGAAGCGCAGTCAACTCGAAATCGAAAGAGCTACAACAGCAGCTTTGACGATGCTGCGACTCTTGTTGTCCCTGGGCTGAACATAACCAAGTCAGATATGCCTGCTTCGCTCTCTGTACCACCGAAGCCGAAGGACTATCGCGTGGTCTCTGCTCCAGCATATGCTCAATACGGACGAGATTCCCGGCAGTTGCCCTCCATTTATAAGAGCAATGAAGGCAGCACGCCACAAGCTCGAGCTGTTTCAGCACCACAGCACCGAGCGTCAGCCCCATTGCCGACTCCACATGACAACCGAGGACTGGAGTATCTCGCTAAGGCCGAGAGAACCATCCGCGTTGTTCATTCACCGTCGGCACCCAAGACTGTTGGGAACCCTGTCGTTCCAGAGCCCTTGAATGTACGCAAGAAGCTTTCACGCGGGTACACTGATCCGTATGGCGACGTGGTGCGTGGTATTGACCTGCGACAACAGTTCGCTCGTCACAGCCAGCTACAAGATCTTCCTGAGGAGCCCACTGTCTCATCGCACAGTAATGGCTCTTCTATTGGCCAGAAGAAGAAGAAGCTGTCGTCGTGGTTCCGCCGAACTTCCAAGGATGACGTGAAGGAGGGCATGGCTCGGAACTCCAGCCGCCAATCTCAGCATTCTGGTGCGACTTATCCTAAGAGAATGGAGTCGACCTCGACGAACCCGCCGCCTCCAATTCTGGAGCCTACGAAGAAGAAGAGCCTGATCTTCTCACTCTTCAAGGCCACCAAGAGCGAGCCCCGTATGTCACTTGCAGGTACTTGAAGCCGATCACAGACATCCTTGAAATGATTTGATATACTAATATTGGGATAGGTCCGGAGCATGAGGAGCCCGCTAAGGTCGAGCCTCTCACGAGATATTCGAGCCGTTCAACCCAGATCTACGGCCGACGGAACACTGATATGGCCGAGCGCCAGATCGAGCCGCAACAGAACTGGCTAGCCCGCCTCTTCCGCGTGAAGCCGGCAACGAGGACTCTGTGTCTCGCCATCTCACGTCGTCGCGCTCGCCAGGAAGCTACCATCTTGCTACGCGAGTGGCGCAAGTGGGGAATGAGGGATGTTGAGGTCGACAAGGACCGCAACATCATCTTTGCGCGAGTCGGCAAGAAGAACTGTAAGTCATAAATTGTCATGGAAGTATCGACAGAATGCTAATGCATGGCTTCAGATCTGAAAATCAAGGAAGTCTCCTTTGCGCTTGAGATCATGACGGTCATCGAGCACGGCAAGCGCAACCAGCTGAGCATCATCCGCTTCACGCAAGAGAAGGGCGCTGCGAGCAGCTTCCACAAGGTGGTCGACACCACCGCCAGCGTTTTTGCTAACCGTGGTCTCCTCGTCGCTGACAAGCGCAAGGCCAAGATGATGGTCCGGACTCTTGACTCGTGAGAGATGATGGGAGCTTTTGATATAAATTTGTCTTACTGATTGGGCTACCTGCGGCTGTGCTGGCTAAGTCACGACTGCCAGCTCTGAGGTACCCTCCTCTTGGGTGGTTCACACCGCCTTCCCCCTGTTAACAGAATTAACGCACTGATGGAACAACATCAGTGAGAGCCATCTTGAATGTCACAGCGTGGTTACACGTTGCTAAAAGATGTTCTCCAAGTCTGGAGCCCCTTTTCGATGATGAAGTGGAAACGAAAACTGGGAACAACGTTGCTTCAAATGGATGAGAAACTTGTGCTATAAGTCACACGATAATGTTAATGTTGGAATACAACGAACTCCCTTTGTATGAAGTCTTCCAGGAAAAGTCAAGCAGGCAGAGAGCGGTATTGGGATGCAGGCTACGATGTGAGTTGAACTGAGTTTGAGGACGTTGGGGAACGGTATATGTCCAGGTCTTTCACTACCTTGGCGCGAGGCTGTCGCGGGTTCATCACGGGCTGTGCTGCTCCAGTGTCCTCTACAGCAATTCAATTGACCAGCCGCATCAGAGCCGCACATTTTGGCGTTGTCTCTTCTTGGAGCAGCTTGAAGCTGTTTGTTGGTTTCTGCACTGCAGTAGCAATTCAAATTACATAGATATAGCATCGGTTAGGGATAAATCAATCCATTGCACAGCACATACTATGAAATCTTTCCCTACCTGGCTAAGTCTGGTTGGCCGGCCACGGCACCTCGGAATGGACCGGGAACGGGCCAACGGCGGCCAGTGCGGCTTTCCGAGCAGAGCTTCGGGCTCAACAATTTTGCGCAATTTGATTTCTCCAGCCAAACCGCGGCGAGCACTTCGAGAACAGTAGCAGACCTCGGATTATCATTCATTCGAGCTTTATCAGACGTCATCCGACCCCAGACTGCAATTTGGGACTCAATTGACAGGATCGCAGACGCAGCCTGAAGCTTCAGAGAGCTCTCCGCGCGCTGACTGGTCCAGTGACGACAATCATGCTTCGATCGGTACGAGCAAGCGCCTCCGGGCCCGCAGCGAAAAGCTGGCTTAAACCGAGGGGAAGCACGAGGGCCTGGAGCACATGCATTTCGTCTTCCTCCTCCTCCTCCGGTGCAACAACATCATCAACCACATCCTTCCAGACTCAATCCCGCGCAGTACGGATACCTAATACCTACCGAGCCCAGCGATACTTCCACGCCTCTTCCATCAGAATGGCCGGCCAGACGAGAACGGAGAGCGACGCCTTTGGCGAGATCCAGGTGCCGGCCGACAAGTACTGGGGTGCGCAGACGGAGCGCTCCCTCGAGAACTTCAAGATCAACCAGCCCCAGGACCGCATGCCGCCGCCGATTGTCAAGGCGTTCGGCATCCTGAAGGGCGCGGCTGCTACGGTGAACATGCGCTTTGGGCTGGGTACGTGGCACCATGTTCCAATTGAGAGCATATCAATGGCGCAGAATCAAGAACTCAGAAGATTAACATATACATTCGTTTTTACAGATCCCACCGTCGGCAAGGCCATCCAGCAGGCCGCTGCTGAGGTCGCCGACCTGAAGCTGCTCGACCACTTCCCCCTCGTCGTCTGGCAGACCGGCTCGGGCACGCAGTCCAACATGAACGCCAACGAGGTCATCTCCAACCGGGCGATCGAGATCCTGGGCGGCACGATGGGCTCCAAGAAACCGGTGCACCCCAACGACCACGTCAACCGCTCCGCCAGCTCCAACGACACCTTCCCGACGGTCATGCACATCGCGGCGGTGCTCGAGATCGAGGGCGAGCTGCTGCCCAGCCTCAAGAGCCTGCGCGACGCCCTGCAGAAGAAGGTCGACGAGTTCGAGGCCAAGAACATCATCAAGATCGGCCGCACCCACTTGCAGGACGCCACGCCCCTGACGCTGGCGCAGGAGTTCTCGGGCTACGTGGCGCAGCTGGACTTTGGCATCAAGCGCGTCGAGTCGAGCCTGCCGGAGCTGCGGCTCCTGGCGCAGGGCGGCACGGCCGTGGGCACGGGCATCAACACGTTCCAGGGCTTCGCCGAGGCGATCGCCGAGGAGGTGTCCAAGATGACGGGGACCGAGTTCAAGACGGCGCCCAACAAGTTCGAGGCGCTGGCGGCGCACGACGCCATCGTGCAGGCGCACGGCTCGCTCAACACGCTGGCGGCGTCGCTGACCAAGATCGCGCAGGACGTGCGGTACCTGGGCAGCGGGCCGCGGTGCGGGCTGGGCGAGCTGATCCTGCCGGAGAACGAGCCGGGCTCGAGCATCATGCCGGGCAAGGTCAACCCGACGCAGTGCGAGGCGCTGACGATGGTGTGCGCGCAGGTCATGGGCAACCACGTGGCGTGCACGATCGGCGGCATGAACGGCCAGTTCGAGCTCAACGTGTACAAGCCGCTCGTCATCCGCAACCTGCTGCACAGCGTGCGCCTGCTGGCGGACGGGATGCGCTCGTTTGAGAAGAACCTCGTCGAGGGCCTGCAGGCCAACGAGGAGAAGATCTCGAGCATCATGAAGGAGTCGTACGTTCTTCCCTCTTTCCCCTCCTCACTACCTCACCATTCTAGACCCCATCTGAGCACGTTCGTTATGAAACCAAACTGACACCTCCCTTAGCCTTATGCTGGTGACCTGCCTGAACCCCAAGATCGGCTACGACATGGCCAGCAAGGTGGCCAAGAACGCGCACAAGAAGGGGCTTACGCTGAAGCAGAGCGCCATGGAGCTCAATGCGCTGACCGAGGACGAGTTTGACACTCTGGTCAAGCCGGAGCTGATGATCGGCCCCAGCCCCTACAAGGGTTAGATATAAAAATGATAGTCTGAGGGAATATGGTCACGATGTTGTAAGTGTGTCTCGCTCCGAAAAAAAGGGGGTCACACAGAAATGCGTGCGTACGCGTTGCATCACCAGCGAAGGACCCGCGTTTCAAGCCAGGTTCTTGCCCTACTGTAGATATTGAGTGTACATCAAATCCATAAAAGAATTGAAGCCATCAACACAGCACTGGGGAGCTGTCTACGTGAGAGATACTGTGCAATACTTCAACTGCATCATGTGCTGCGGGCTAGTCATTGGCCATGAGCCTGTGACTTAGAAGACGAGCCGAAAGCGTTTATTGTATGCAAGATGCAAGATACATGATACATGATACACCGCGGACCATTTTCTATCTTTGGCACATCTGTACTACCTACCTACCGTGTGCGGTATCCTCATGGAGTTCCCTGATTCGCATGACGCTGGTCGAGATCGGCCTGGGCTGCCTGTGCAGGTGTTCGGAAATTGTCGGCAGCAGGTGAGTCGGCTTCTGAGGCGTGAGCGACCTCGGCTCTGCGGGTCGGTAGATCGGAGAGGCTGCCGAGCATTTTGCCTTTCACCACGCACGCCCGGCATCCAAATCAACGTGAAGAGTCAGACCAGCGTTTTGGTCGATACGGACGGCTGGCTGGCTGCTGCTAAACTGCACATTTTCGGGTACCGGTAGTAGTCAGAGTCAGACTATTCATGTCATGTTATGGGCCACGAGCTACGAGCTACGACATCGGCCGCCGCCATGGACTATGGACTGTGAACTCCGTTCTGGGATCTGGGGATGCAGTAGCCGGTGCGGGTCCTGGAGGTCGCCGCCGGCGCATTTCATAGGCCAATGCATGTCGTCGATGCAGACTTTCGAGGATACTACAGACAAAAAGAGGCCGAAGGATATCTATACCATACCATACGATAGGTACTATGCGATGCGATGCAGGGAAAAAAACTCTTCTTTGCGGGGGCTTATTAGCATACAAGAGACAATCCTATCGAGTAAGAAATATCCAGACATTTCACGTCTAGTGGTGATAGAGAGGTGCCGTGTTGGCGAGCTCCGTTGATGCGGCGGACCCCTCCCCGATGATATCACCGTTTTGGAGAAAGAGCGCCCTGTCCTGTCAGGTATGCTCAGTGTGGTGAGGGGCAACCGAGACCGCAATCAGAGGCCTGTGAGTGGCCTGGCCCGAGGACAGCAAAAGCACAGGGCACCTCTCTCCAATTACTGCGTAGTGACAAGCTGAAGCACATGCCAAATACGGTACGTGTGAATATGAGGGATGCCAATCAATTCTACAGTAACGAGGGTCGGGAATCAACGGTAATGTTAACGTAATAATAAACGTCGTCAGGGAAATGCGGCGGCTCGAGGTACATACAGTACTGAATTATTGAGGAGCACCACATAGTTGTACTTCAGTTATTCGATCTGAAGTAGAGAGACACGTGTGAGAGAGTAAGGTTTGGATGATACTTCCCCACACTTTCACAAGCCCAAGAAGTTGCCTCGTCGCTCCCCGCCGTCCGGCCTGCCAGTCGTCCTCTTACCCGAGCCACGGCCGAGCAATACCGTATCCAGTCAGTCCGTCACTCCGTCACTCAGTCACTCAATCCAGTCATCTTGCCCTACCGATTCCTATCCTATCCTCATATCCTATTACTTACAGGAATCCGTTACCGCGCTGCTAAGGTAAGAAGGCAGCTAGCTAGTAAGCTCAGGTGGAGCCACCACCAAGTAGGTAGTTACCGACAACTACTAACGTTACCCTGACTGAAGTGGAGGAACCGCGGCCAAGGACCAAAGGCGACAGCGGCCAGCCCTCCAGGATCCCCAAGAAAAAGGTAAGGAGGTCGTCACCAATTGCCCTGCTCTTACACCTCTTTTCTACCCCCGGCCCAAGCAGAAAACGTGTGTGAAAGAGAGACGGTGCACTAACGAGCTTTACCAGTTCAGTCAATGCCGAGCTGATCTGTGGTCGTCGTGCCTTATCTTTTTCGTCATCCTTCCTGTAAACGGTATAAGCTTTACTACGGCTTAAGAGGTACGTCCTACCTTCCATACGGTTACTCCCACCAACCACCACCACCACTACCTCACACCCCCTCGCCTCAGATCATACATATATCTGCTGGGGTGGCCCTTCATCCGAGGTCCATCTCGTCCTCCCTCCTATTTCCTCCCGATTTGTCCAATTGCTTCCTTTTGTGTTCCGTGATTCTCCAAAAGATACCATCAAGTAGACTAATACCCACCACTTACACACAGCTACGCCAACATCATATATACCCAGAATCACAAGCAAAAAGCGAGAGAGACAGAGAGAGAGAGGTTTGCCAATACGCATAATGGCTACCGTCGACAGCATCCTGCAGGGCGTCAATGTCCTGGGGACCGTCAAGGAGGAGCACAAGAAGATCCTGACGCCCCAGGCCCTCGCTTTCCTGGCCCTGCTGCACCGCTCCTTCAATGGCACCCGGAAGGCCCTGCTTGAGCGCCGCAAGATCCGCCAGGCAGAGCTCGACAAGGGCAATCTGCCCGACTTCCTCCCAGAGACCAGGCACATCCGCGAGAACCCCACGTGGAAGGGCGCCCCGCCCGCCCCCGGCCTCGTCGACCGTCGTGTCGAGATCACCGGCCCCACAGACCGCAAGATGGTCGTCAATGCTCTGAACTCGGACGTCTGGACGTACATGGCCGACTTTGAAGGTGAGAACTTGTGTGCAATGGCCGGACCCCATTGGCTGGAAATGGGGAGGAAAGCATCCAGAGTGGGGAGAATGAGACGATGAGGCTAACAAGCTCGACATATTAGACTCTAGCGCTCCTACTTGGGAGAATATGATCAATGGACAAGTGAACTTGTACGACGCTGTGCGGAGGCAGGTGGACTTCAAGCAGGGACCGAAGGAGTACAAGCTGCGGACGGACAAGACGCTCCCTACGCTGATTGTGCGCCCGCGAGGCTGGCACCTGGAGGAGAAGCACGTCACAGTCGACGGCGAGCCCATCTCCGGCTCGCTGTTCGACTTCGGCCTGTACTTCTTCCACAACGCGCACGAGGCCGTCCGCCGCGGCTTCGGGCCGTACTTCTACCTACCCAAGATGGAGTCGCACCTCGAGGCGCGCCTGTGGAACGACGCCTTCAACCTGGGCCAGGACTACATCGGCATGGCGCGGGGCACGATCCGCGGCACCGTGCTGATCGAGACGATCCTGGCGGCCTTCGAGATGGACGAGATCATCTACGAGCTGCGCGACCACTCGTCCGGCCTCAACTGCGGCCGCTGGGACTACATCTTCAGCGTCATCAAGAAGTTCCGCCAGAACTCCAACTTCGTGCTGCCCGACCGCAGCGCCGTCACCATGACCGTCCCCTTCATGGACGCCTACGTCAAGCTGCTCATCCAGACCTGCCACAAGCGCGGCGTCCACGCCATGGGCGGCATGGCGGCCCAGATCCCCATCAAGGACGACAAGGCCGCCAACGACAAGGCCATGGACGGCGTCCGCGCCGACAAGCTCCGTGAGGCCAAGGCCGGCCACGACGGGTGAGTTTATCCCCTGACTTCTCCTTCATTACAGAGGACGTCGATATCTGAACATCTACTGACTATTGGGTAAAGCACCTGGGTTGCTCACCCGGCCCTGGCAGCCATTGCCTCGGACATCTTCAACAAGCACATGCCCACGCCGAACCAGCTGTTCGTGCGCCGCGAGGAGGTCAAGATCGGCGCCAACGACCTGCTCAACATGAACGTCCCCGGCAAGATCACCGAGGAGGGCATCCGCAAGAACCTGAACATCGGCCTCGGCTACATGGAGGCCTGGATCAGGGGCATCGGCTGCGTGCCCATCAACTATCTGATGTAAGTCTACGCGTGACATCCCAACATCCACTCCGGCCCCCCGCCCCCGTCCGTCCTCCTCTCAGACAGGAGACCGGGCAAGAGAAATAAGCGAGAAACACGGAGGAGCCGCAGCATGCTGACAACAAGCCCAACAGGGAGGACGCCGCGACCGCCGAGGTGTCGCGGAGCCAGCTCTGGCAGTGGACGCGCCACGGCGTGACCACCGCCGAGGGCAAGAAGGTCGACAAGGGCTACGCGCTCAAGCTGCTCAAGGAGCAGGCCGACCAGCTGGCGGCCAAGGCCCCCAAGGGCAACAAGTTCCACCTCGCCGCGCAGTACTTTGCCGGCCAGGTCACGGGCGAGGACTACGCCGACTTCCTTACTACGTATGTTGTCTAACCCCCCGTCTCTAGGTTCCCGGAGAGAGAGATGCTGACGTGACGCTTCGCAGGCTTCTGTACGACGAGATCACGGCTGTGGGAAGCGCTTCCCCTGCCTCGAAGCTGTGAGGAGGAGTGGGATGGGGATGGGGAGGGGCGTAGATGAGGTCAATTTGGCGGAGCTTTTGCCTTTGCATTTTCTTTTAGGATATCTATATCACCAGTGGCGGGATCTCGAACGAAAGTTGGGGACACTTGGATTTAGTCACGGAAAATTGTACGATCTGAGCAATTGAATGAACATTTGACAAGCCCCAAGGAAGACACTCGCAGGAAGGGCGCGAACATGCCCAGCGTTTCGGTGATCACTGACTGCGGTATTTTTCTGCTCATCAGCCCAACCGGCAGGGACGTGAAAGGGGCTCTATCAATTGTGATGTGTTGATGTGATCACGAGCCTCCCTTGGCCTCATGGTGAGCCATTCAATTCAAGACACATGCAGGGTCAAACCCCCCTCCTTGTGCCACGCTGCCTTGATGGACGCCTCCTGCCTCACAAAAGGACAGACAACCAGAAGAAAGCAGTCCCTGCGCCTCAGAAAGAACGTTGACTCCCCTGGCATGAGAGGCGCTCCCCGGTACCCTGTACCTATCGGACGTGTATCCGTGTCCTCGATGCTTTCGCCACGGCAAGGAGGCAAAGGGCTCGTCTCAGCCTCTGTTTGAGACCCTGACCAAGGATATCAGTCCGACAGGCTAGACCGTAAAGCCTCTTCCGCGAATTACTGCTCGACTGTCAGAGGAACGATCAAGTCCCTTTGGCCCGGATCAAGCTGGGGAACAACTTTGGTAGATAGTAGTATCACAATAGCGAGCATCGTCGAGTTGTTAGTAGGAATAAAAAGATACATGGCGTGATCATGAAGAGTCAGAAGTCACTTGGAATGTAGTGACCACGATGATGGGCCTTCTATGGCAAGCTTATTTCCAGGTATGCAGGTATGCTGCGTAACCGTTGATGCATAGGTCCCAGGCGAGCCAGGGCGCCAGGCTCCCCAGGGAGATCTAAACAGCGCGGCTGGAAGCTATGGGGACGGAAAGTGAAACAAAAGGTGCAAGCCGGCGAAAGCCCTACTTCTCAGTAGCACGCCGGGGAAAAGAATCGAGATGTCTGAGACAAGGGTCTCAGGGTGTTCTCCGAAGCTTTATCCCATAGGTTCCAAGCGAGCGCACAAGTGACCAACCCTAGTTTCTGATTAGATGGTAGGACACGGGACAGGGAAATTTCCAGCAATTCCTGATTTTATGGAACACTGATGTCAGGTAGGAATGAGCCCCGGTCAACACTTGTCGATAGCATCTACGATCGGTATTTTAGTAGCTCCAGAATATCAGCCTCAGCCAGCCACTTTCTGGACAGATCAGGTAATCCGTGAGTAGAGTAGTCGTCGCCGAGACTCATCAGCACAACCCTGTAGAAAGGGAAAGATGAACTGGAATAGAAGATTCGCATACTAAATCAGATGTTCGTGGAATGGGAATGTTCGTAGTGGATCTAAACTTTTGGGGCATGTCGACGGTCGAGAACGTCTGGCCAGCTTAAGCTATTTCTGAACGGGAGTATCGATGGGGTGCCACTGGGCTGTCGATTAACGTTGCACGAAGTGTATTGCGCACGCCATTTGGAGTCGAGTGGTTGTTCGCGGTGCTCAACACAGGGGCTCTGGATCATGTCGAAAACACTGAGCTGGCAGAGGTCTGGGTCTGCAGGGGAGATTATTAGCCTTCGGTACTGTCCTCTTCGAAGGGGTTCTCTACACCTTAGACAACATTAAACTACCGCAAAGCCTGCCAACGTCTATCAGCTCTCCCTGGTGCTGGACACGCTACGACTGGCTGGCTTTCCACCGGTCTTGAATGGTAGCATGCCGTGTCCCGATAGCCCGAAAGAGAGGGCATGCTGGAGGTTCGGGACCGACGACAAGCGTCCAACCACTCGGCTGGATTCCCCTCTAGGTAACGGAATGCTTTTCTACGTGCTAGATTCTTGGAGAATAGAAGTACGCATTGAGGCACTTGTTGGGCGGACAAGCAAATGTCATCGATCGAGCTTGGAATGGTATCCATCGGAGCTTGGTAAGAGGAGTGATTCGAAGAAGAGTGGGAGGTGCCAGCCGCAGAGTTAGCCGTGTAATACGATTGTTTGTCTTTGTCGCAGGGCGGATCTTCATCACGCCTTCGCAAGTTCAAGCATGGGAATGTTTTTGTTGACATGCCTGCCATCCACGAGGATTGGTGACTAGCTGCCGAAGATTGATGCCCTCATGAGGAGCAGGTTCTTTACACGATCTTGGAGTAGAGTAGGGCTAGAAAGCTTGTAGAGCTGAAATGAGGATGTGAGGATTGGAGTGTCGAGGAGGAAGAATTGGCAATGCACATCAGTCAGTGAGGCTGGAAGTCAAAATAAGTCGACCAAATCGGCAACTGCAGGATTAGGTAGACAGGCAAGTGCATATCGATAGTTCACGATCTAAGTTGCGACTTCTTCCAATTGACTTTGAGTAAAAGCTGCCAGGGCCTATCAAGTTGCTCAGCTCAGGGGCAGGAACGATCCATGTTACTTTAGCATACGCCAAAACAGGCACTCACGGCCGACTGTGATGCAAGTGGTATCCCCATGCTCTCAAAGGAGAAGGCACGTAGCAATGGTGGCATGCGCCAGACAGCCAACACACAGAGTCACAGACATGCCAGACCCTGGAAAAGATTTCCTTGCCTATAGCTCTCAGCCCAAGGTAACACCCGATGCCCTTGTCAATCTAAACCCATCATCATCGCATCTCAACCCAGTTGTTATCTTCTGCGGTATCGATATCCATCAGACGAGGGTCCGCTGTGACACAACAGCAAGACACAAGGCCAGCATTGCTCATCGGCTATCAAGCGCCATGTTGTTGTTGGGCTGCCATGCTATGTTGGCTAGTGCGTGGATGGTGTCCGGCTACGTCCCGTAATGCCTCAATAAGGAGTACGCTATCGAGGACATCCGTATCTTTCCAGCTGCTGTTGCTCAATCCCTTCAGGACTCGCAGGCATACAACAGATACACAGACGGCACCGTCCTGACGCGGTGGACGGCTGGAAAGGGGGATACAGATGGTTCGCCGTCATTGCATTTACAGCAGATCCAAGGCTCTCAAATGTGGGTATATGGCAGATGTCGTGGTTCGCCGCCTGCTGTTAATTCACCTTTCTGACTGGAAGAGAATTGAGGCTCTACGTATGGCGTCGACCATTCTAGAGTCCTATGCAGTATGTGCAAGCGGCAACATCGAATCAGGAAATCACACGCCCGAAAGCTTGCAGGACAATATTGAGTCTCGCCAGTCCCATTTCGCACACAATCTCGGGATCCCCAAGCCTTGAGGGACAGGGGTATACGTCTCTCGTCTTCCGGAGATTACCGTTAACAAGACGCCTGGGCGTGTATTGACCCAGTCAGCCCTCCATGCCGCCTAGCGTCCGTGGCATCCTTGCCGCCACATCGCGGTACCTATGAGCCAGTGGGACGTGGCTTGTTTGGCTCCGTCTTGTCTTTCATCGTCCTGCCCACGCCTCGACATCTGCTGCCGCATTGGACCTTTGATTACAGTCGATCCTAGACCGTTATCCTCTCGCCATATTTACTTTGTGCTGGAATTTTGAGCGACCAAGCAACACGTTGGTTGCCTCTATAGCAAAACCGGACTTTGGGCCGGTTGAAAATTGTGCTGTTTACGTCCGTATGAGGCTCCGGAAGATGGTTGGAGATTCCCCAAATGTTCAGTACTTTTACTCCACAGGGGTCCGCTGGGCCGAAGATGCCATGAGGTTCCAAGTTTTCGACAGCGGGACAGTCCCAGTGGAGACCAGGACGACAGCAGTGATCTGCAAAAACATCTTAGACACCTTCACGGAGAGCTCTTAGAAGGTTTCTACCATGTAAAGGTCGGCAGATGAATCGAGAAACCGGTGAAAAATAGCCCAAGTCATCCCTCGTTCATTGCTCCTGTATTTGGTCTAGCTGCCACCAGGCTACGGAGGGTGTGATATAACATGGCTCACACCTTGCCCATGGGCAGAGCACAATTACACTTCTCGATGGATAGGCGCAAGTACAGTGGCTGTGGGTCAAGTTCCAACGATTGGAAACATCATATGCTTGTTCGATGTTGAGGCAAAGCATCCTATGAAATCTCACATCGCACAGAAATGGCAATCTCTCATTTCGAAGCTTGGATTTATTGACAAAAATCGGAATTGCCTGCAACACCGATCGGGACGCATGTTGGAACAGCAGTTCCATCCGAGGACGGCTGAGGTTGCGACAGGGAAGGTCGTAATTTACGCTGGCTCACATCCGAGAGCTATTTTTGACCTGGTGCCCAAGTAGCGCATAGTCAGCGGGGCGATTATTCCTCCACGCGCCAACAGTTCACTGTGGTCTGCCAGTGGGTTCCCCAGCGCCCATGCGCTGAAAGATAATGCTGGCACTGCTTGTGTATGGGTCGAAATCACATTTTACCCAGGGGCCTTGTCCTCATGGATTCTGGGCACGAGGCAGGACACATGTCATTTTCACGAAGACGAATCCGCAATTCGCACGTTAGTTGACCGTCGTTGTCACTTCAGGTGTCCGACCGAGGATCGCAGTCGGATTGCCGGTCAAAAGCAATGTCTGCATCTTGGACACGCGATTCGCGTCCCGCAGAACCGAGCTTGGTCCCAAAAGACTTAGACTCCTCAACTGTGACTGGCCTAACTTACCCATTATCCCATAGTAGTGGTCTTTGGTCTCCATTCAATCCACATAGCTATCGTCACACAACGGACCCTAGGGCGGCATCCATTCCGCAGCGTCGAGCCAGGACAAGGAACCCAGGAGGTCATATGTGATCACCAAATGTGATCTCAATTAATCTAGTGCTAGAGTTACAGTGCAAGGAAGCTGGATTAGGACTGGCCCACGTTGAACCACGGCACCAGGAGGGACGCCGGCCTCTTGCTTAACCTTGTTCGACGCCATGCAGCTGGCTAAGGCTTTTGAGTTGCGCCACGGACACGTTATAACGCGCGCTGATAAGATGCCA